GGCATGTAGACCAATGGAATAGGATAGAGAACCCAAAAGTTGACCCAAATCACTATGCTCAATTAATATATGACAAAGGAGGCAAGAGCATACAACGGAGTCAATACAGTCTCTTCAATAAATGGTGTTGGGAAAATTGGACAGATACATGCAAAAAAATGAAACTAACTAGACCACCAACTTAGACCATAAACAAAAATAAACTCAAAATGGATAAAGGATTTAAACACAAGATGGAAAACCATAAAAATATTGGAGGAATCCATAGGCAGCAAAATGTCAGACATATGCTGAAACAATATCTTCACCAATACAGCTCCTAGGGCAATGGAAACTAAAGAGAAAATAAACAAATGGGACTATATCAAAATAAAAAGCTTCTGCACAGCAAAAGAAACCATCAATAAAACAACAAGAAAGCCCACTGCATGGGAGAACATATTTGCCAATGCTATTTCAGATAAGGGTTTAATCTCCAACATTTATAGGGAACTCGTACATCTTAACAAAAGGAAGAGCAACAATCCAATTTTTAAAAATGGGCTAGGGACCTAAATAGATACTTTTCTAAAGAGGACATAGAGAAAGCCAAGAGACATATGAAAACATGTTCAAAGTCACTAATCATCTGAGACATGCAAATCAAAACAACAATGAGGTACATCTCACACCTGTCAGAATGGTTATCATCAACAAATGAACAAAGGACAAGTGCTGGTGAGGATGTGGAAAAAAAGGAACCCTCATGCACTGCTGGTGGGAATGCAGACTGGTGCAGCCACTATGGAAGACAGTATGGAGTTTCCTCAAAAAAAACTAAAAATGGAACTCCCATTTGACCCAGTGATCCTACTTCTAGGAATATACCCTAAGAAGACAGAAACGCCAATCAGAAAAGGTATATGCAGCCCTATGTTTATAGCAGCACAATTTACAATAGCTGAGATCTGGAAACAGCCTAAGTGCCAATCAGCAGATGAATGGATTAGAAAACTGTGGTACATCTACACAATGGAATACTATGCTGCTGTAAAAAAGAAGGAATTCTTACCATTTGCAACA